ATTTATTACTGCGGTATTTCACGACCAGAAGAAAAGAAATACAGGTTATATTAACAGAAAAAGCATGAGGAGCTCAATGAGTGCGAAAAGAGTCCCCACGGTGGTTCGAACACCGGACCCTACGATATGAAGCACGCTGCAATCGTATGCTCTACCACTGAGCTATAGAGACGATGTGATGCGAAGCAACAATAAGGAATACAAGGCCACACAATTGATGGGACGCGTGTGGTGGACGCGTCACCCAAGATCACTTGCTCTCCTTCACCATCCTCGACATCGAAATGAAAGGCACAGACTCCAAAGCAAAGGATTCTCCAAAAAACAACGAGAAGAAGGCTGAGGAGCCTCCCAAGGTCTTTCCACTCACTCCTGTCGCCGAAATCAAAGCAAATGTCGCCCTCATCGAACGTGCAGTCTCTACCCTTGAACCACGATTCACCCACCGCGTCCTGCGTACATTAACAGCTCTGCGCAAACGTATTGATGCGACTGTTCTTAAATCTGCTATTGAGCAGGTTTACACCAAAGGTATGTCTCTCCTGTGTCCGACTCGAATCAAGTTCACAAATTCTTCTAGATGTCCCCGAAAAGAAGATATTGTTATCATGGGTCCCAGAGCCATCTCCAGGTGGCCACGAAATGGATGTAGATTCATCGGGAACTACGACAAAGTCTACAACACCAACATCATCTGTGCCTGTCCCCGAGGGCGAAATATACCTTCGCCTCCTCATCCTCCATTTCCTTCTCACATCACCAGCAACATATCATAAGGCGCTGGAATTGGCTGTTGAGACAGTAGACAAGATGCAGTCCCTCAATCGCAGAAGCATGGATCCCATCGCTGCGAAGATCTGGTTTGCGGTCGAAAGAGCTTACGAGCTCGGTGGCGAGTTAGCAGATGCCCGGCCGTGAGTGCTATTTTCTAACGCTTTCAATGTCCTTTCTCATATCTTGTGTGGATATCAGACTTTTCCTTGCCGCACAGAGGACTGCTTCTCTACGCCATGACGACGAGACCCAAGCATCCCTCATCAACCGTCTTCTCCGAAATTACGTTCATTATAATCTCTATGACCAGGCAGACAAGCTAGTGTCTAAAACTACTTTCCCCGAATCTGCAAGTAATCCTCAGTTCGCGCGGTACCATTACTACCTTGGACGGATAAAGGCCGTGCAACTCAACTACACCGAAGCCCACACGAATCTGCAGCAGGCGATCCGCCGCGCGGCTCCAGCAAAGACCGCGCCAGGCTTCTATCAAACTGTTCATAAGATTTTCATTGTCGTGGAGCTTCTGATGGGGGAGATCCCGGAACGCAGCCTTTTCCGCCACCCCGTCCTCGAGAAGGCTCTTGTGGCGTACTTCGATATCGTAAAGGGTACGTCGTCAATCTAACACAACAAATAATGGAATCTGACTTTCAGTCAATTCCCAGCCGTCCGCGCTGGTTCGCTATCCCAGTTCCAGACGACACTGTCCAAGCACGCAGCGCAATTCGAAGCCGATAAGACCTACACGCTCATCGTGCGTCTGCGCCAGAACGTCATCAAGACCGGCATCCGCCGCCTCTCCCTCTCTTACTCCCGCATCTCGCTCCGCGATATCTGCTTGAAGCTCCATCTGGATTCAGAGGAAGACGCGGAGTACATCGTGGGCAAGGCGATCCGCGACGGCGTTATTGAAGGGCGTATTGTACACGACAAAGGCTGGATGGAGTGTACCAGCCAGAAGGACGGATACGGGCCCGAGGTCAGCGAGGTGTTTGCGCGCCGTATTGGATTCTGTCTTGAGCTCCACAACGAGAGTATTAAGGTATGTCGGTCAATGATTTGTCTTCGTCGCTCAGGAGGTGCTGATGACTGCTTGTGTAGGCGATGAGATACCCTTTGAATGCTCATCGGAAAGAGCTCGCTGCTGCTGAGGGAGCTCGTGAACGCGAGAAGGAACTTGCCAAGGAAATTCAGGGTGGAGAGCTAGATGATGATTCCATGGGTGGCGATTTTTAATTTTTTTAAAGCTCTAAAGATTTGTTTTTGCAATCTCATATTCTTTGCTACTCTCTAGATGGTAAATTTCAAAGACGTACAATCGCACATGCAAGAAGGTTATTTCATCTCCATACATAAGAACTCGTCTTACTAGCCTTGAAAATGTTATCCATGGCGACATGCGTTACACCATACTTCTGGATCACTTGCGGACGATGTTCTGATTAATACTCTGGTCCACCGTTCCACGCAGCCGATATTTCATTAGAATTGCATCAGACATCAGACATGGAGTTCAAATCGTTCCAGATTGCAGGCGCTGTAACCTCTGAGGTCGAGTTTGTCCATTGATTATTACATGTCCTTGACTAGAGAGAAAGTCTATTACAGGTATTAGCAACTAGACTAATATCGCTGCCTCGTTATATGCGACTTCCTCCTGTATTCTAGCCCTAGTTTAGGTACATGTCATGTTCTGAATCAGACTGACAATCGCTTCGATGAGCCGGATAACTGTTGGATTCTTGTTGACTTACCTGAGCCCGGAGTGGGGGGTCGGTATGCGGTACGGATGACACCTGGCCTTTCTTGTGAGTATTAACAACTGGCTCAATAAATTGGAAGTTTGACTGACGTTGCTCGAAAGTATTGCCTTTCGACCGCCCAATGGTTATATCGTGTTCGATATGTTTAGCATTATCATAGGTATTTCTTGCACCGAGAAAAATGATACTATTATCCTTGAGTTGGCTTGGTTGCCTCGAACGGTGGGCTTCGTCGCGAGGATCAGGGAAATGACGGATAGTGGTTCCAGAGTCTGAATTCATACACCCTCGATTGATATCATTTTAGAAAGACACCCCTGGGCACTCAGTACTCACTAGCAGTGACGGTGGTCTTTCCATCAATGTGCACGCTATTGTTGTCATAGTTATTCTGGTTCCCCAAAACTATATGACTCGAGCCTGAAAATTTCTCCATTGCAGCGACAGCTTCATCCATTATGAACTGTTGATATCGTAATCGCATGCGCATTGCGAGCTCCACATCTTCCAGGCACTCTAGTATATATTATGTTAAAATTTCCAGACAATTCATTGGAAGGCCCACTCGCCTGCAAGGATGGGCCGATCATTGTGCACACTGGCTCCCGCGTAATGATTAGTGTTGCCAACGTCAACCATGCGAGCTCGAGTACTTTGTGTGTTCTTTGACTGGGAATGCGACATTCTGGAACTGATGGATGGAGAGATAAAAGTGATAGCACCTTCCGCTGGCACACTGTCGTTTATATGGGCAGCCATGCCATCCAATCTGCTTGCGTCGCATCCTGTACCATCGGTAGTTGTTCCTTCCCGATAGCTTAATACTGCGAACTTGAAGGCCACGACTCTCCTAACGACAGTGTGAACTCGAGTCATTTGCGGCTTATCATGAGACGATGGTCTTGAGAATGCCCGATCGAAAGACCAGGCCACTAGGCCTGCGATGTGTATGGACTTCTGACCCACCATATTGTCCGATCGCAGAAACCATCTTCCGAGCTTTAATTAATGGACCCTGGACCTTCAAGTTGCTGTTGCTGAATCGGTATTTACCGAACGTTATACAATGGCTCCATGTTTTAGACAACCAAAAACGAGCGAGTGTGCGTACCCTGGGGCTGGTACACCAGTCCAATATCCTTTCATGTATAAAAACACCACTTCTCGTCATTACGACCGTATCCTGCTGTAAGTCTGAGATCACAAGGATTACAGTGGGTTAGAGAGTAAGTTACATACGTAGGGCTTGTTCGTAGAGTTTCAAATGCGCCTTCTTGAAACTGAGATTTGACCCTGAGCACGATGAATTCCTTCTTTTCCGATGAGTCGGATAATCTTACCAGATCTGAAATCTTCTGGACTTTTCATCTTGTCTGTGTCTACGTGGGTCATATCTGCCTTGGATAAGATACTAAGAAGCTCGATGATGGCGGTTCAATGACTTACTGCGCATGCGGTCTTGATGGAAGATCCGAGTCCATTGCAAGGGGAGTTTCTCAGAAAATGATGACTCCGAGAGGCATAACGGTGTATTGAATAAATGTTAGCTTACTACCTGGCTTTTTTATTCATGTCCTTGAGCTCGGCTTTATCAGCGTAAGCGTTCTCACAGTCTCTGCGAGGGTACTTAGAAGCGGTAGATGTTACAGAACCCTGGAGCGGCGCTTATGGGGGCCCGTGCCAATGGCACGCGATTCTGTTTACACTGGTAGGAGGAGGAGAACTGAGAGATTCTTTCCCCGCCTGTGTTACAACCCCATCAAGTTAATAAGATACAAGTATGTAGGTAAGTACATACTTCTAGGACTGAACCAGCTCGAATTTGAATTCGCCTGTCAGATATGCGAAGATAATGGCCGTTTGTGCCATGCTTGTTAGGCGATGCTAGGGTCTTTAGAAGCCAATCGGAGTGAATGGGGGACGCTGCATGAAGGTGCTGTTATGTTATCAATGCCCAGGCTGTAGGACTTAGACTCACACGCATCGGTACTTTATCATTTCCGGGTTCCTATGGTGCGAAAAAACTGACCCATAACTCTTTGAGGGTGACTGCTCCTCGTGCTGCAAAGCAGTCGTGGAGCTTGGTGGTCGGACTGAACTGTAAAAATTTCTCCCGTAGGCTCCAGTTTGACAGCATCGCCGCCCAATCCAACTCGGTTCCGCGCTTATCTTGCTATTAGCATTGAATACCAGAAAGTCCCGAGTTTCGTTGCTAAATCGTTTGGACCTATTGGTGGCCAAGAGGTGGTATAGTTCACAAATTGCCAATCGAATTCTATGCTAGAGAAGCAGTCTTTAACGTCTACGGAAGGGGGCCCAGGTCAAGATTCCATGACACGACTCATACAGACTAGGATGATACATACACAAGGTATAAGGCCAGAAAATACTGTTAGATCCGTTCGATAGATATATCAAGCCTATTACTTTCGCAAGTCATAAACAGTGGCTGAAAATTGAATGATGAGAAGATAAGGTTGACAATGTGCGAGAACATGCATCAGGCGGGGCGCCGGGTCAATGATCGGTGGCTCAAATTAATGAACTTAAGTAAGTATCGTCATCTTCATGGACGATCGAAGTACGTGGGAAAGGGCTTCTCAGAAAAAGACCTATGGTGCAGATACTAATA